TTTTTTTGTATCATGTTTTGGCTCTATGCGCGGAAGTTCTTATTTTTATTAAAATTCTATATCTAATAAAATGTCATCTAAATAAATTATGTGTTTTTCTGGTAATAAATGTAATCTGAATAAATTATTTGGGCTGCGAGTGAGGAGTCTGGTTGTAGAATGTTTTTCTGTTAGACAATTGTCTGGGATGTCTGCCTAGACAAATGAGGAGAAACATTGTGCTGAAGTTTAATAATAATGGAATCTTCTAGATAGTACACATGGCAAAAACTTGTGTAGTGTATAGGATATCCAGTAGCCAACAATGCTCGGATTTGCCAACTCTTCACTGTTAGATTGGCTTTTTCCAACAACCACTATTCAAGGTTATTCACATACTATATAGTGGTATACACAGCGGTAATTGCCTCTATGCATCCATTGTCGAAATACACATTTCAAAAAGTTGAAAAATTCGGAACAAAAATCCTGCGTGTATATCGGGGCATTTTATGTGCGTGCACAAGGTTTCAGTGAAAAACGACGTTTTTGTGGCTTGTGTAAAAAAGACAATTTCTGATGCTTCATTCTAACTATTCACGAGGCATTTCTTTATTTTTTTTACACAAGCCACAAAGAACGTCATTTTTCATTGAAACCTTGTGAACGCACATAAAATGTCTGGATATACATGTGGAATTTTTGTTCCGAATTTTTCAACTTTTCAAAATGTGTATTTCGACAATGGGTGCATATGCACCTAGGAGCCAAAACGCCGCTCTCCATAGCGGTAATTGCCTTTGGCTCGCCGCTCTCCATACATAGATGGTCAAGAGATTATTATTTTACCATTTGAGATCCACTTATGCATTATGCAAGTAATTAGTAAGTTGGTGGGTCAGTCCCCAATACACAGTGAAATAAAGAAAAATTGTTCTCTACTCCTTCGAGTATATATTTATTTCAATTCCTCATATGCCACATATGCATATGTTATACTTCTTTATTCCTCTGAACATACTCCACTAGTAAGTACTTGCATTTGAGTTACATAGGAAATATATATTAGAGTCTGACTTTTAGCCTGTGTTCGGCAATCCTCTGCCCCGTTTGTGTGCATGCACCTTTTATTGTAAAAAACTATTGGCTTTGGTGACGAATTTTCATAATATTCGCGTGAGGGTGGATTTTCCGTGGCCCTGCAGGTACACGTACACCCTACACCTTCTATCCAAATCGTTCATCATTGCATCAAGATGCGCGATTCGCTTCATAGGAACTTCTATTTCATGTCTCTCCGAATAACACGGCATACAAATTTGAAACTTTGCAGTTCGGTAACACAATGGAACTTAAATATTTCGACATGTTATCGTATTTGAAACAATGGAGTTCATTTGAGATACAGGACGGGAGGCATGTGTGGTACTCCCTTTGTAAACTAATATAAGAGCGTTTAGATCACTAAAATAGTGATCTAAACACTCTTATAGTAGTTTACGGAGGGAGTACATATCGATCACACATGCACATCGATCATGGTGTTTGCTTTTTTGATTCGATTCGATTTGGTTGTGCAGGTGATCCAGATGACAGGCAAAAACCATGTACCCCGAAGGATGGATGCAGGGGAACAGTGTATGAGTGACGTGAGTGACCTATCACCTACGTATGTGACATAGGTCACGCAACGTACACTGCTAGCTAGCTAGACTCGCATGGATGGATGCACGCATGACCGATGAGAGTTCAGCCGTGTGCGAACAAATGTGCTCCAGCTTTAAATCCGAGTGCACATCATTTTGGATTCCACCATCACTTATGATGATAGCTACTCCTTTTATTGACCGAAATCAGGCTATATCAACTCAGGTAAGCCAAGCTATTTTTACTCACCGGACAACATCCCGGAGTTCGCTGCCTAGTCCAGTCGCGTGAACATGCCCCGACATTCTTCTCCTTCTTGCTTCTCTGATTCACTTAACTCATCGACACTCCTGAACTTAGGGGTGTCGGTTTCATTAGATGCCGACTACCCATGAGATCGGGGTGCCATTGATCAGCCTGGTCAACCTCCCTTTTTCATTGTACTACTACACATCACTCCCCCTCCCCCTCCCCTCTTTCTCTCTCTAAGCGTAGTGCATCAAGGAATTATTCACTCCCTAAGACTAGAAAGTGAGCAGTCACACATTTGATTTCCACTTGGACACCGAGGCGAATAAAACTCATGTTTCTGTGGAAATTGTCAAAGCAATTCTTGTTTCAAGAAAATCCTATTAAACCCGCTCAGCCTCCAAACCTTCCATTTGCTTTTAAAAGAGAGCTCACACTAGTCCTTTTTTCCCCTCCAAAAAGGACCACACATTTTTTCTCTTCATTTTGGCGAACAAGGATCATACAGATATTTGCCGCATTATACATTTATTTGCTTGCAGCTGGAGCGCATGGCCATGCACGTGAGAAACTCCTGCAAGTAATTCTGTTTTAATCTGCAAGGCAAATTAGGCGGATAGGATGGTGAAAACTAACTAAAGTTGCTCCTTCAATTCCACCAATGTATTAAAGCATAAATTTGCTAGCAAAAGAGAAAGGGAAAGAGATCTCGATATTGCATTTGCACCCTGGAAAGGTGCACAAAAAAATGTAGGATATCCTCAAAGCACTGCACTTGGATTTGCCAAAAAGAGGAGGCAAGTCACTTTGGCCAAATTATTCCGCTGATAGTGGGGAGTGATGGTGAGCCCATTATTTGGCTTTGCTTGGTTATCATCCAACAGACGCATACACACAATCTTTATCCTTCCCCTTTTCTTCTCCAAAACAGAGGCATTTTTTTTTCTTTTTGGTTGCAGCATAGTTTCTTGTGGGTTACAAGTTTGTATCGTCATCATGATCATCTTTGTTAATGTTGCTTTCCGAAGGCACTTAATTTGATAACTGCCTCATCTTTATTTGATATCTTAGTAGTACTATAACGGATCGACAATCTAAAGTATTTAAAACATACACATAAAAGCAAAGCTAGCCAGCACACATGGTTAGCATGCGTTTCCCCTGAATTTGTTGCACATATCACGCATGCTTCTGTTAGCTTGTCTAGTACACCAGATATATATTAAAACCATTAAGCTACGCCGGAAGGGCGGCCAACCAACTATGCCATGTGGCGCAAGCTGGCTGGGCGTGGTGAGAACTCTCTTTTGAAAAAAAATTTAGATGAAAGTGGGAATTATTTTTTATATGTATTTTTTCCTTTTTAGATGGAGGTGAGGACCATTGATATTTTTTAAATGAAGGGTTATGCAAAGTGGCACTCGCTGATAGGGTGGGATGGTAATTTTCTTCTTCTTCTTTTAACTTTTTTTAGATGAAAGTGAGGATTTTTTTAAAGATATTTTTTTAGACGGAGGCAATGATTAAATGAAAACGTGTGCACAACTTTCTCTTATGCGGCGCCCCAATCACTAGTAAGTACTATCATGCATGCATGTACACTTGGTCAAGCAGCTCGTAGGTGTCGACCAGTGCATGCTATGCGTGTGAGTGAGAGTCAGGTGGCAGATCGATCATGCATGTGACTGTCCTTGTAGCCAGTACTAGGATCCACACCACTTGAGAGATCCCTTCATCCATCATGCGTGTGAATCTGATGCTCTGAATCATATCACTCACCACTGTGAAATTAATTTGCACCCGGAACCATATATAATGTACAGTGGTTATTTATCTAACATGACCTTATCTAGGATATGATTGATAATTAAGGGAATCCAAGGAATAAACTTGAATTTTGATTCCAAATTGTGCATTCTAGAACTCTGCTTCCTGACTGGCTTTGCCATGTCCATGTCAATGGATCCTACTACCTTTGCTGCCCACTAACTATGGCACCAGCAGAACGGGGTAATCTCGATCCACTTTGTAATCATGCACGTAGGAATCCGACCATTAGCACTAACTACATCCTTGTATACTAATCTTCTTATCTAGTCCTGGTTAATTAAGTTGACGCCAAGTCTAGCTTATCATTCCGGTTTTTCACATGCCCTCGTGTCATCCACCTATCCCACCCATATTTATTACGGTCAGTCCATGCCTCAATTTTCTTTTTCTTCAAAAAGTAGGATAGCCCCGGATCTCTGCATTAGTTGCACAAAGCCATATAGTATTATTTATTACTTTCATATAACAAATTTGATTTATACAATCTAAAAATGTAATCATCACGTTGTAAAAAGTTGTTCATCCTGTGAAAAATGGCATTTTAAATTTGTTGGCCACGGATAATTTCTCGGTCTACTCTATATATTTCTTCATACATATGAGTATTGAGTAGTAAACATGTTCAGCATGTTATTAAGAATTTGTCTAGCTAGCAAAGAAAAGATGTACTCCCTCCGTCCTCGTAATGTAAGAGTGGTTTTAACACTACACTAGTGTCAAAAATCTTCATAATATAAGAGCGTTTTTGACACTACACTAGTGTAAAAAATGTTCTTATATTAAGAGGACGGAGGGAGTAATATTTATTCTTGTTTTAGAACGACGAAATAGTGTGGCAAACACTGTGAAATCTTATGCAAATTTGAGAATTAACTAGTGCGAATTTATGAACCATATCTATTTTGAATTGAAAGATGGTCTTGATATTTATTTCTCAATCACGGAGTATAAATATGGATTGCCAAATTTCTATCCTTCTTCCCTTTTCTCCCCAAATCAACCACATGCACGAAGTTGCTAAAAAAAAATTCACATGCCTCCGTGTCATCCACCTACTTGCTCCACATTCATTTTGAGCTAAATAAATTGCTGGTATGGCATTTATTTGGGAATGCCAAATTTGGGATCAGTTTGGATCACCACATCTCCTTTTGTATGCCTGATCAAAACTGCCGTCACCATATCTCCATATCTTTGCATTGCATCACTTGCTCGGCCGTTTTGCTCTGCTCTCTTCTCATCGAAGCAAACCCATTTTGCTCTGCTCACACTGAGCACGGGCTGGCCATTCTGCCATGGATCCACCGTCGTCACCGCCGCCGCACGATCATGGTCAGCATGAGCAAGAGCATCAGCATGGGTGCCCGGCGGCCAGGGAGAAGAGGCCCTGGGGGTGGGCGGCCGCGGTGGCCGGCGAGGCGCGGGCGCAGCGGGGGATCGCGCTGCCGCTCATCGCCATGAACCTCACGTGGTTCGCCAAGCAGGCCGTCACCACCGCCTTCCTCGGCCGCCTCGGCGACCTCGAGCTCGCCGCCGGCACGCTCGGCTTCAGCTTCGCCAACGCCACGGGCTTCGCCGTCCTCACGGGCCTCTGCGGCGCCATGGACCCCATCTGCGGCCAGGCGCACGGCGCCGGCAACGCGGCGCTGCTCCGCCGCACGCTGCTCATGGCCACCGCCATGCTCCTCGCCGCCTCCCTGCCCATCGCGCTCCTCTGGCTCCGCGTCGACACCGTGCTCCTCCGGGTCTTCGGCCAGCAGCCCGACATCGCGGTGGTCGCGAGGCGGTACGTGCTGTGCCTCCTCCCCGACCTCGCCGTCACCTCCTTCCTCGCCCCGCTCAAGTCGTACCTGAGCTCCCAGGAGGTGACGCTCCCCACGCTCTTCGCCTCCGCCGTGGGCCTCGCCGTCCACGTCCCGCTCACCGCGTGCCTGGCGCGGACCAGGGGCGTCGAGGGCGTCGCCGCCGCCGTCTGGCTCAGCGACCTCGTCGTCGCGGTCCTGCTCTCCGCCTACGTGCTCGCGTCCGACGTACTCCTCGCGAGGAAGAGCGCCAAGACGACGGCGTCTACAGCGGCGCCGTGCGCGCGGTGGTGGTGGCCCGAGGAGACCAAGACGGCGGCGGCCGACTGGCTACGGCTGATCCGTCTCGCCGTGCCATGCTGCCTCAACACGTGCCTCGAGTGGTGGTGCTACGAGATCCTGATCCTGCTCACGGGCCGCCTCCCCGACGCCCGGCGCGCGGTGGCGGTGATCGCGATCACCCTCAACTTCGACTACCTCCTATTCGCCGGCATGCTCTCCCTCTCCGTGAGCGCGTCCGTGCGCGTGTCCAACTCCCTGGGCGCGGGCGACGCCGCGGGGGCGCGCAGGGCCGGGGCCGTGTCGATCGTCGGCGGCGTGCTCGCCGGTGCCTTGGGCGGGCTGCTGATGCTGGCGTCGCGGCGGCAGTGGCCTCGCCTCTACACGCGCGGCGCGGAGGTGCGGGACGGCGTGGGGAAGGCGATGAAGGTGATGGCGGCGCTGGAGGTGGTGAACTTCCCGCTGAACGTGTGCGGCGGCATCGTGCGCGGCACGGCGAGGCCGGCCGTGGGCATGTACGCCGTGCTGGGCGGGTTCTACCTGGTGGCACTGCCAGTGGGCGTGGCGCTCGGGTTCAGGGCCCGGCTGGGGATCGAGGGGCTGCTGGCCGGGTTCATCATCGGCGCCGCGGCCAGCCTGACTGTGCTGCTGGTGGTGATCGCGCGCATGGACTGGGGCGCCGAGGCTGACAAGGCGCGGCTGCGGACCGGCGCCGGCGCCGACGGCGAGCCGAATGCTGCACACAAGGAGGCACCCCAAAATGCTGCTGCTGACGTCTGACCATAACTCCAGCCATTAAGAAGTAGTGTGAATTAATCTGAGTGCAATGTACATACTGCTCCTACATGAAGATGAAACTTTGGAGATTTTGTTTTGAAATCGGTAGAATTAATTGTCATGAGGGAGGTGAGGCGACGAATGGAGCCTTGGAATGCTTTCTCCGACAATGTTTCGCTCATTCACTCACTCATTCCATAGTGCTCTAATCTAATCGAGTCGACTATACATATGCAAGGATGAAACTTCGGAAATTTTGGTTTGGAAACAATAACCTTATAATTGTGTCGAAGAAGATGAGCAAGCTGACGAGTGGACCCGCAGAACATTTTCCCCTCGGAGTGTAGTGCTTACTCAAGGTTGCATGAAAGCTCTAGGCTCGTGAGCCGCTCGAGATCGACTCATATTTCAGCTTGACTCGAGAGCGAATCAAGAAGAAATGAGCGAGTATGAACACTTTATATAGCTCGATCGAGAAACGAGGTAATCTTGAGCAAACACTGACTCGCTCGATTTTACCTCGATAGCTCGACATCATATAATTATATTACATAATTTTGATATATATTAAAAATAAATGAGATAATTATTTACCATATAGCTAGTAAAAAAATACTGTCTAGTATATGCACGTTATGTACGATTTGTCTCCTTTTTTTCTACTACCAAACATGTAAGCTTAATTATGTGTGGCGAAAATTTAGCCCTGTTATGGTATGTGGTCAGACATGTGTCAAGTATCATGTTATTTTGGTAAAAGTTGAGAGCAGACATGCCTTCATTTTATTCTCTTGCTAATTCATCCATAATTTATTGCTATTAAGTACTGATCTCCAGTTGAGAGAGAATAATTTGAATTACATAATGGTTTCTTATGTTGTGTTGTCGCCTACCTTATTTCAAAATTTGTGCTACATTATTAAGAAAAATAATCTTATTTAGCTCGAAACTAGGTCGAGATCGACTCGAGATCATTACAAGCTAAGCACGAGCTACCTATTACATGACCTTAAGCTTCGCTCGGTTTGAGCTCACTCGAATTTTAGTCTAAGTTGAGCTGAGCCTAATCCAACTCGCTCGAACTCGACTCGTTTGCAGCCCTAGTGCCTACCATGCCCAAAGCGGGGTTTTGGTGCACCACTACACTAGAGTACTTTATTTTAAATAATTTGAAAATCACATTTTGAAGTTTCATAATTTTCAAAAAATCTACATGCTCACTTGTTTACTTATTTCATCACGCAAGTTTGCACATGTATAGTGTATATCCTTTTTTCCGGAGATTTTTAAAACTTCAAAATACCATTTTGACACTGTGTAAAGTATTGTGTCACTTGGAGCACGTTCAACAAAGTGAATTTCTTGCTGCCATGCCATTATGATTTCACTAGGTACATGGAACAGACGTTGGCACGGCAAAGACAAGACAAGAAAGCAAAAAAAGGAAATTGAGCAAGAAAGGCCATGCTAAGACAGTAGTACTACAGCTATTTGTTCCAGCTAGAACCACAAGAACAAAGCAGGTCCTCGGGATAATCACAAGCAAAAGGGCCAATAATGTACTAGAAGATACTCTGCCTTACAACATTGGGGCCTCTTTGATTCGCAGAATTCTAAAAACGTGGGAATAGAAAAAACGTAGAATTGAAATGTCATGCTTATCTCAACCCTACATGATTTTGGTTTGTTTGATTGCACCATAGAAAAGAAAAGGAATTTTTTCAAAGAGGTTCTAGTAGATGTTGGAAGAAAGTAATACAAAGTGATCCTTAGAAAAAATTCCTAAAGAATTTGATCCTATGAAGCAAACAACCAACGTAATAAAAATCGTAGTAACAATTTCTAAGGATTCTAATACTGTAAAATTCCTATGAAAATCTTTTGAATCAAAGCAGCCCTTGGTGGTCGAGTACATTTTCTAGGCATAGAAAAATATAGTCACAATGTTTTCAGAATAGCCAAAAAAACATTAAATTGTTGTGCCTTGCGGGCCTTCAGAATGATTCTGCCTAATATGGGCTTGTCCACTTGCCCAGGGCAGATAGAAGTTTACTAGACTTGGTTATTGCGCCCAATAGCACGGCGGCTCCTATTTGGCGCATATGTCACTGTGGAGCGACCTATCGCGCACCCCCTCCCTGATCGTTCGCATAGTGAGCCGGCCCATATTTCAGGATTTCACGTGTGTTCTTGCATAGTGAACGAAGAACCAGTTTTTTCTTTCTTTTCTTGATTCTTGTTCCAAATTTTCTTCGTTTTTTTTATTTTCTGTTTTTCCTTTTTGTTTTGTTTTGTTTTTTTCCTTTTCCTTTTCCTTTTTCTTTTCTCTCTTTTCTTCTACTTTTCCATTTTTTGTGAATTTTATTTTCAGAAGAACGAACTTTTTTGTTCATCAAATTAAAAAATGCATCAATGTAAAAAAGTTCATCAAATTCAAAAACGTTCATCAAATTTTAAAATTGTTCATGAAATTCAAACTTTTTTCATTGATTTTTTAAAATGTACATAAAATTAGATTTTGTTTATTGATTTTCGAAATATGTTCATCAAATTCAACAAATTTCATCGGATTCAAAAAATGTTCATTGAATTCAATTTTTGTTCATCCATTTAAAAAAAGGTTCTTGAAGAAACAAATTGTTCATCAAGGTCAAAAATGTTCACCGAATTGAAAAATTGTTAATCAAATGCAAAAGAAATGATCATCATTATTAAAAATTCTCATAATTGTTTTTCATCAAAATAAATAAATGTTCATTAAAATTCAAAATCTGTTCATTCTTTTGATATCATGAACATATTTTAATTCAAGAATTGTTTTTGAATTCATGAACATATTTTGAAGGTCAGAACTTGTTTCGGAATCTCGAAAAAAACATGGGCCGGACCAAATTCGCGCCTGGGCGAGCGAGGGGTGTGCGTTGCCTCGCTCGTCACCGCGTATGTCATGGAATAGGGGCTCCCTTCCCAATAGCACCGAGATGCACAAGGGCACTCCACACTCCACAGGGCATGCCGCAGTGGAACACCATAGAGCAATTTACGTTCCAGTGTAGCGATTGTATTTATACTGTAGCAACCTGTTTTTAGTCGGTTCTTTAGTTTCTAACAATTTTTTAAAGTTTTTGGACAGGGCGTTTTTGGTGCCCAGGCTCAGGTGCGCATGATATCTTGTTCGTTGATTGTTGTATCGGGATTGGGGAAATCTAGTGTCAGATGGCAGGTCTGGTTCGTGGAAAATCTGAATACAGATTATATATAGTCATGAATAGTGCGCTACTGTGGGCCTGGCACGTAGGGCGGGAGGTTGATTTGAACGATCGATTGACGGCGCCGTCTACCCTGGGTTCTGATCCATGGCTCAGGATCATTCGCTTTCGTCTGAGCCTTCGCTGTGGCATAGATGATGTGCAGAGCTTCAGGCGATTTGGTAGAGCGAGGTGCAACCGTGCAAGATTGCCCGGGAGGCGGGACTCATTTGCCACCAAGAGTGTAAAATCAGGGGCGGCATTTTTTTTTGACAGAATAAAATCAGGGGCGACATACTCGTGAATTCAGGTGAGATACTTCTGTTGAAGATGATTGACACTCGCCTTGCAGTCCCCTAAAAAAAGACACTCGCCTTGCAGTTGTCTGGTGCGTGGCCGGGTGCACAGAACAACCGGGAGAAGAATGGGGATATGAAACAGAGCGAGGATTAGGAGGTATAGGAGTTAAATATGGTAGGCGTGTTTGGTTGGGTGGCTTGCACCTGGCTCGCATTAGGCCTGCAAAATTTAGGCCGTTTGGTTTTCTGCAGGGGCTCCTCAGCCTGGTCCGACTGATGCAGAAAAAGGCCTCTCAGCCAGGCTGAGAGGAACCCCAGAATCGGGCGTATCGCTGATGCAGCTTCGCGCCTGCACGCCTTCCATGATTGGCCCTGATGTTTTCCAGAATTACTTTCAAACTGCCACCATAGCCTCCCTTATCCCTCTTTCCTCCCCTCACGCATCAGATCAGATGGATGCACAACAACAAGCCGCCGCCGCTGGACGGAGCTCCTTCTTGCGCCACCGGTCCGAGCTCCCTCATCTGCCTCAACCCCGCTAGCCGAGCTCCCTCTTTCTCCACCGGTCTGAGCTCCATTGTCGCGGTGACCCTGCCGCCGGGCATCCATGCTTCGCTGCCCGCCAGCGTGTGATTTGCAGGGGCTGCATCGGATGGGAGGCGCGCCTGTGCCGGCTCGGCACGACCGTCCGCGGTCACTGCGGTGTCATGGGGCACTGGTGGTGGAGGCTCAGGCGGATTACGAGCTTGGCCAAAAATAATTCCGTCGTCGTCGTGCTTCGGGGAAGTACATGCCGATTTCTCGTACAACCTAGCAAACAACTTCTCACATTGGCCTGTCCCACGGTATGTGAAGCAGCACAAAGGTTATGGAGGAGCAACTTCACCTTGTTGCTACAATGTGTATATCACAAGTATTGAAGGAACAACTTCAACCTGTTGCGCTAGATATCGCTCTAGAGGCGAATGTAGGCCGATATGGCAGCAAGAATTCAATCCAGAACTCCTAGAGCACAATATATACTCCAAGGTCTTAGATAAGAACAATAAGTTCTATTATAGGTAGTGGGTACATAGTTGTTGTTACAAAGTAGAGGTGGGGACCTCTATTTATAGGGCTTTGGGAAGCCTTCACATACTTCTACTTATAGTTGGAATACTCTAGAAAACATTATGTAAGTTTCATCATTCTACTCATAGCTACTCACAATTAGAAGACTCTAGAAAATAGTAGGTAGGATAGAAAGAAAAGAAAAGGAAAAAAAGTACTACACTAGAGTGGAAGCATCTAGAAGTAGCCAAACAAATCTGACATACGATTTTTTTTCTCATCTAGTGTTCCTCATCATTCTCCCCTGGTTGTTTGGAACTCGCCCTCGAGTTATCTTCATAGAGCGCTTCTTCTGGATGGTAGAGAGTCAGGTCCGCAACATTGAAAGTGTTGGATATGCCCATGT